TTTGGCGGGAAATTCACCCGCACACATTATTTTAAATTAGTGTTTTGGGTTTCTTTGGATAAGTACCCAGAAGTGGAATTGCTGGGTCATAAGGCAGTTCCATTTTTTATTTTTTGAGTAACCTCTATATTGTTTTCCATAGTGACTGCACCAGTCTTTTCCCCCACCAGCAGTGCACAAGGGTTCCCTTTTCTCCATATCCTTATCAACACTTGTTATTTGTAGATTAATTGATGATAGCTACTCTGACAGGTGTGAGATGATATCTCATTGTGTGTTTTTTATTTTTTATTTCTCTGATATTTAGTGATGTTGAGCATCGTTTCACATGTATATTGGCCATATGTATGTTTTCTTGGGAGAAGTGTCTATTGAAGTCCTTTGCTCATTTTTAATTTGATTGTTCGGGGTTTTGAGTTGTCTGAGTTCTTTACAAATTTTGGATAGTAACCGTTTATTAGATGTATCATTGGCAAATATTTTCTTTCATGCAGTAGGTTGTCTTTTCATTTTGTTGATAGTTTTCTTTGCTGTGCAAAAAGTTTTTAGTTTAATGTAGTCCCACTTGTTCATTTTTTGTCTCTTTGCCTGAAAAGGTATATCAGAAAAAATATTACTAAGAGAAGTGTCCTAGATTTTACTGCCTATGTTTTTTAGGATTTTTATGGCATCAAGTCTTACATTTAAATCTTTCATCGATTTTGAATATATGCTGTAAGAAGGTGATCTAGTTTCATTTTCTGGCATGTATCTGTTTAGTTTTCCTAACACTATTTATTGACTAGTCTGTCTTTACCACATTATGTGTTCTTGCCTGAGCTCTAATTGTTTTTTTCACTCCAGAACCCTGATTAGCAGATATATTTATTTCTAAGAATGATTTCTGGCCCTAACTAGTTTGGCTGAGTGGATAGAGCGTCGGGCTGCGGACTGAAGGGTCCCGGGTTCGATTCCAGTCAGGGGCATGTAACCAGTGGGGGGTGTGCAGGAGGCGGCTGATTGATGTTTCTCTCTCATCGATGTTTCTAGCTCTCTATCCCTCTCCCTTCCTCTCTGTAAAAAAAATCAATAAAATATATTTTTTAAAAAAAGAAAAAAAATAATGATTTCTGATTCTTTCCAAACACCTCATGCTAATGACTTATAGAATATTATGATTTAAAACTATCCAGGAAAATGAAGACATTTTAAAATCATCTACCTTTTTGACTGATAAAATTAACTAATAGTTTGACTCAAACAATTCAGCACTTACTTGTGGGACACGGCGGTAGACAAGAGGACATTGTGCAAGGCATCCGATAAACACTTGTTGAATTATCTTGTACTACACGCTTTCTAGAGATGATAAAGGGAACTATAATTCCAATTCACTTGACTTAGAGAATCAATAGCTTTAAAAAATTGTGCTATGTAGTTATCCCTAGCCACCCTATAGAGAGAGAGAGAATCTAAATAAATCAACTGTTTCCTATATTTATATCTCTTTCATTTCTATTTGAAGTTAGACCAGGTCTTGACAAATTAAATCCAAAACTGCAGACAGGTCCTTGAAAATTTAGATGAAGTTCTGGATCTAATAAGGGCCAAGTATGTGGCCTTTTAACTGATGGCATTTCTTAGGGAAGTAAAGGATTTATAGGTCTGAGCAAATGGCTACATTGAAGTCAGCAGGATTATGGGCATGCACAGACTTTGGCCTTAAAACAGAAACACCATGGCACTCAGTCATTTCTCTTGTCAGACAGGGACTGGTCGTGGTTCCATTGCCTCCTGGGCTGCTTTTAGGACTTGTCTTAGGGTCCTTCAAAAGGTCTTCAACAACCTTGTAGTTCAGAATTCCTCTATTTTATTTACTTTCAATGAGCTTAGTACTGCATTCTTGTGTGCACATATGTGTTTGAGTGTATGCGCATGTGTACATGTGAATGTGTTGTGGGGGAGGGCTGGTAGTGGGATGGAGGAGGCAAAAGAAGAGACTGAATTTATTGGAAGAATTTTGTTTACTTTTTATTCCAAAACAAGAGAAAAATTCTCCACTTTCTCTAAGCCTATACTACTTTTCCACCTCCAGTGCTTGACTCTTTTCCTGTGGTGTCTGTTTGCCTCACCTTGTCCTTTGTTCACCATCTACAGACTTGAATCCGATTCCAATATATCCCAAATCAGAGGCCAAAAGGCTAACCCAAAGCATACCCGACAAATATTTAGGCACTTGATGAAATCTTAATCTGACCAGAGGTGACTAGCTTTTCCCCAAAACCAGATTGAGATAGGGAGGGCCCCTCGCCACATAATAGCTCCTGCAGCTGAGGGTCTATGGAAATGCAACAGTGACGCTTGCACCCCACCTCCTGATCGGCCCTGCTCTGTGTGTGACAGGGGGCAGCTCCACAAACCCCTGATCAG